ATCCTTACTGAATAAAAGTATTAATTTCTTTAAAAAAAAAAAATCTTGCTGACCTCAACAGCAAGTAGGTTTAATGAAAAATATTGTGTTGGATTATTGAAAATATTGGATGGTATTGATGTATCTATTAATAAATTTTTTCTTTCTTTCTTTCTTTCTTTCTTTCTTTCTTTCTTTCTTTCTTTCTTTCTTTCTTTCTTTCTTTCTTTCTTTCTTTCTTTCTTTCTTTCTTTCTTTCTTTCTTTCTTTCTTTCTTTCTTTCTTTCTTTCTTTCTTTCTTTCTTTCTTTCTTTCTTTCTTTCTTTCTTTCTTTCTTTCTTTCTTTCTTTCTTTCTTTCTTTCTTTCTTTCTTTCTCTCTTCCTTCCTTCATTCCTTCCTTCCTTCCTTTCTTTCTTTTCTTCAGTTGGCTGTTTAAGAGCTGTGCTGGCTGTCCAGTTTCTGTCCACTTCATGTGGTGCTTCAGGTCACCATGGGAAAAACCCACTACTGCTACTTCATCCCATTTTGACATTAAAACCTTCATCTTTTTTGTTAATCCTTTTTCATAATTAAGTAACTTATTTGTTATCATTCTCAGAATTTTTGAATTAACTATGTATTTATTTGGAGACAAAAAATACAGTAATAAAGAGAAATCAGGGAGGAACAATGAGGATTCACGCCCTTCACAAAAGCTCACCGGTACTGCCTCCCTTTTTTTTCTTTATTAACCTGTAAAGAAATACATGTACTGTGTACTTTATCTCATACTTTATCTCCGACATTTCACTCCCCTGCTCATTCCTCAGAGCCGTTGAGCTGGGAAACATACTTGAGAGAGACTTCATCCTGTCCTGCTTCCCCCAGCTATTTCAGACAGGTAGGAGCTCTTATATTTGTTATTCTTTAACTCCTTACAAGATTAATAAGTACAGATAAAATAGAATGAATTTAATGCAACTGTTGTAAGTGCTGTTTTTATTTATACATTTATTAGTTTATAATAATAACGTTTTAAAGTTATATATTTACACTACTTTTCAAAAGTTTATGGTCAGTTTTTTTCAAGCAATTACTAGGCTACTACTTTATTCAGCAAAGATGCATTACATTAATCAAAAGTCACAGTAACAATGTCTATTTCAAATAAATGCTGCTCTCTTGAACTTTATATTCATCAAAGAATCTTGAAAAAAAAAATCACGGCTTCCACAAAATATTAATATGAAAACATTTTCAACATTGATAATATAATAACCAATTTTTCTTGAGCACCAAATCAACATATTAGAATGATTTCTGAAGGATCACATGACATCGACCCCAAAACATATGTGTAAATGAAATTTTGTTTTGTCTTGTAATGTAATTATTATCACACTATTTGATTAACATTTCATGTTTTTATTCATTCCCTTTTTGTTTAGTTTTTTTCCTCTCTCCAGTCCAGAGTCCCTCGCAGTAATGATTTTAAAGTGGGACTGAAAGTGGAGGCTTGTGACCCGAGGAATTCCAGCTCAATGTGTATCGCCACGGTGATGGGGTTAATGGGTGTGCGTCTGCGGCTCAGACTGGATGGCAGTGACAGCACCAATGACTTCTGGCGACTGATTGACTCCTCTGACATTCAACCTATCGGCACGTGTGAGAAGAGTGGAGACATGTTGCAGCCACCACTGGGTAAAGTAGTTTTTTTTTTAAAACAAAATTAATAAAATATACTGCAATGAAGAATTCAAACAAAGTCCAGTTTAGGTCTAAAGTAGTTGGTTATGGCATCAAAATTTTGTCATTTTAAAGCGATTTGCAAAGATCCCACAAAGCTAAATTGATTAGAATCTGTTTGTTTCCCTTTCATACAGCATAAATATATAGTTATTTTTCTTTTTTTTTTTCATTATACATTTTCTGTTTAATACCCATTTCCCATAATTAGGGTTCAGAATGAATGCCTCTTCATGGCCCATGTTCCTATTAAAAACATTAAGTGGGGCAGAGATGGCTCCAGCTTCAGCCTTTAAAAAGGTAATTGCTTTAATTTGCAAACCATGTTAACAAGCCCTTCATAGATCCATGAATAAAGCTTTGAAATAAATGGAAAGTGGTGGGTTTGTTGCATAATGTATGCATAACATAAATTCAGACAGGAATAAATATTGCAACAAACATTTTTTTTTAATTCAAATGTTTAGAGTTTTAGCATACATTACCAGTCAAAAGTTTGGAATAATTAAGATTTAAAAAAAAAATGTCTCTTATGCTTACCAAGACTGCATTTATTTAATCTAAAACAGTAATATTGTGAAATATCATTACAATTTAAAATCACTGTAATAACTATTTTTCTGTTATAAAATATTTAAAAATTTTATTTTTAACATTATTTATTTATTGTTATTATTTATTTATTCTTGTACATGAACGGTCTGTTTTCTGTGAATGCCTCAGGAGCCGCCCAAACCTATTCAGAGCTGCTTTAAACCTGGTATGAAACTGGAAGCAGTGGACCGAAAGAATCCCTACCTCATCTGTCCTGCCACCATTGGAGAGGTGAGAGGGGACAAGATATTCATCATGTTTGATGGCTGGAGAGGAGCGTTCGATTACTGGTGTCAATATGACTCCAGGGACATCTTCCCCGTGGGCTGGTGTCAACTGACCAACCACAGTCTGCAACCTCCCGGCAACTGCTGTGAGTACATTCTGTGACCACTAGGGGTCACTACAGTTTTGTGTTTGGGAACTGTTCTGTTTTTTGGGGGTGGAGTGATGTGATTGTGATCGATTGAGAGAGAAAGAGAAACCACCTTTTTATTTTCTCTATAATGAGCATAGATCAACTTTAAAGAAGTCTGTGCTCAAATATTTAGTGTCTTCAAGTCGAAGTGAACAGTGACTGTCTTTTACTGGTCCAATTGCCACCATTCACAGTTTCTTGCTGATTAAATCTGAGGTCTGATATTTAGTTTACAGTATCCATGATTTTGAAATCTGAGATCAAGTTTTCCAAGGTAAAATTGTTTCATTTTATGATTTAATAATGATGAAAATCTGTTTTATTGTACAGCTTCCATTACATTTTTATTTTTTTTAATCAGTTTCATACTTAGTAAAAAAATATTGTAGTTTATTACCATGTCAAATATAGGAGAAAATGTGTAAGATATTTTAAATTATTTTAAATTAATGTATCTATCTTTTGAAATGTGAGCAACAAGCAGACGCCTAATTCTTCTTGGCAGCAACATTTACTTAACATGCACACTTTGCAGGAATACACATTGCCTGATGTGCTGTAAATCTGGGATGTGATGGTTTATAGCTGTCTGTTGGTGCTGTTCAAATGTTTCACCCCAGTTTGTGTGGCTCTGGCAGAACAATTGATGTGAAGTGAATGAAAACTGAGTTCTCGATGAATGGGGGTAGTTATGTGTGTCCTATCAGTTCTTCCTCCTCTGAATACTTTCAAGGCTTGTTTACTGCTCTCTTCCTGCTTTTACCAGAGCGGACATTACCAGACAGAAAGGATATTGAATGTTAGGAGATGTTTCCCATTTATCCTAGTCAGATACCACAGCCTTTATTTATCTATGAGTACAAATGAACAAATCATTCTGGGATTTATTTATTTTTACTGTGATTATGATTTACACAAGGAACAATTTTCTTTTTTCCACTTCTTGTCCAAAAGCTTGTTTCACATACATCTTGATGCACTGAATTGCGAATTTGTGTGAGATGGCTGGTGGTTTTTGAAAATATACTAAGTTTGATTGAGCATCTAGTATATGGCATTCTAATGTTTGCTTGTTTGTTTGTTTGTTTGAAAGGCATTTTGGAATATTTCTCCATGAAGTTATTGGTGGAAATAAATAAGTGGCCAAAATAAAAGACTCTTTGAGAATCAGAATTTAGGACACAAGAAGGATTCCATTTTCTCCCGACCATCAGAGGTGGCTTTTCTTTTGGAATCATTGTAAATTATTTACAGACTGATCACAATCCACTGCCAGAGTTTTACTGAAAACACTTGGATCAATCCATAACTCAGCAGTAGTTTATAGTCTGAATGGTTTAAAAGAGTTTTATTCAACAAAAGACTCTGTTGTGCTTTCAAATTGCTCATTTGACCGCACCAAAGATTCAGAATTGATTTTTTTACTCCAAAAACAGCAGACATTTTTCCTTTGAATGAAAACAACAGTCATTAATGCTTTTTCATTACTTAATGCAATTATTTTGTGTACTAAATTTAGTAAGGCCATAGGCAAATTTTATATATAAATATGAAAAAGCAAATGGTTCAGATAAATTCTGATGGTATTTTAGTGAATTTTGAATGGAGGCACGAGAGCAGGAACTGTGCATTTACCCTTTCCTTTGTGTGTGATGTGTCTTCATTTGCCTTGCATAGTAGTTTTAACTGATCATTAGTGAGTATCAGCTTTCTAATGAGCACTGAAAAAAATGTGTCTGTGGGTGTTTGAACGATGTATAAATTTTTTTTTAGCTGACGCAGAACACATTGTGTATGTGCACATGTGCATTTATTAATAATGAAGCAAAGAACAACAGTAATAAGAGCTTAGGACAATGGATGCAAGGCAAAGGATGAACATGTGTTTCAGATCTTTTGCAGTTAGTTACAGATAAATTAGACTTTAAAAAAAATTAAAATATGGTTTCAACTTCATTTCTCCTAAAAAGAAAAGTGTTTAGATTTCCTGTAATTTGGGGAGATGATGGAATATCTGGAGTTTGTGTTAGAATATGTCTTCTGAGAGTTTGTTTTGATTCAGGTCATTAAATTATGTTTCTCATGTAATATTACGAAAGAGCTCAAAGATTCAGCCTCTAGTTATTCTGCATACAGTAGGAAGCACATTTGTAACAGTGTTTCAGGGAAAATTAAAGCAAAATTGTCTGTCACAAATCTTTTTTTTCCTACCCATCTCCGATGGTAATTTGATACAATAATGTTATAAAATATATATTTTTTCATTTCCAACATACCTTAATTTATTTTCTAATAATAATAAAAATAACATTCTGTAGTTTAGAGTACAACAATAATCCATTATGTGGTATGCTTTGCCTAAATGATCTTCTTCATGTGCCATTTTAAGTTATATTTAGAGCTATTTATTAGTACTATGTTATGCGTATTAGTTATGCGTTCACCTCTGCTCCTGCTGTGCTCTCACACCTAAAGTGAGAACAACAGGGCCAGATTTCTTAATAAGTGTTGGTGCGTTCACACATCTCGCACACTTGCGGTGGCTTAATGCATTTAATATAAATGTGTGAGACAAGCAGACAAATCCAATTTGTCTGTAGCCTGTCTGTGTATTTGTAATGAACTTTACTATACATTTGCATAATTTCTTGGGAAATATCAAAGATTTGAGGTTTGTTTGGCTTTAGCAGGGAATTCTGAATGAGGTTTGGGATTACAACTGGTACCAGACCGAGGTGTGGGTACAAGACTATATCCGCCGGGTGTGCGAGAAAGCACACAAATACCTGCAGCAGGAGCGTCATTCATGCCTCTCTTGCTTCAAACCGGGCACTCTGAATCTGATCTCCATTAGCCTTTTACCCCCTTCAGCCCTAAAAGCCTGGGAGAAGCTTTGAAATGGCAGGAGACTGATGATTATGGGGTGAGCGTGATTTTACCAGGTACACCATGTTCCTGGAACAACATCCTTGTTGATCCTGGAACAAAATTCCTATCAACCAATCAGAATTGAGGGATAACTTTTCAGGAAATATCTGTTTTAGGCTTACAATCAGGGTTAGGTGCTTCTACACCCTTGTTAATCAGCTATCTGATTTTAGGAATAAATTATGGGTAGGGTTAGGTTTAGGGGTAGGGATTGGGTTAAGTCTATATTTTTGGACAGTTATGTTGATCCAGGAACATGTCTTACTTGGGAAAATCACGGCGACCTGATTATGGGGTGTTGAATGGGTGAACGTAAAATATGAATTTTTTTTGCAGATTTATCTAAATAATATATTTTTTAAATTGTGCAGTGTTCAAATGTTTTGTTTTTTATACATGTATGCATGGTTAATATTCAAATTATTTTCAATTCAATTCAAGTTTATTTGTATAGTGATTTTCACGATACAAATCGTTGCAAAGCAACTTTACAGAAAATTACGTTTCTACAATATATTTAGTAGTAGCTTATCAGTGGTGACTGTTAGTTAATGTACATATGGCAGAAATGTACAGAAAAATACATTAAAGACGTAATCAAACAGACGATGAACACTATTAACAGCAATTATTATATGTTGCACTCAAACTTATAGCAACATTTGGTAGTTCTGTATGATATATATATATATATATATATATATATATATATGCATAATAATAGTAATTTATTATTTATTTATTTTTTAATATTTAGATTTTCAAGATTAAGTCTACATTTTAATGTAACATTAATAAATAATACTTAATTATTTATTCTTAATATTAATAATAATAAATGTTGTTATTGTTCATAAATAATTTTATTGTTAGTATTATTTATGAATGCTGCATTAAAATGTCTGAATTACTTAAAATGACTAAATCTAAATCTTAATTATAATACTAATAATTTATTAATTTATAAGTTAGTTATATCATAATTATTATTATTTGTAAATGTTACATCAACATGTAGACTAAAAAAATACATCTTAAAGAGAAATTACAATAAACAATACAGTCTGCTTACAATAAAGCAGACTTGACTTGACTTGAAATGTTATTTTTATTTAATACGATACCAATAAGTTATTCTGTAGTTAAATAAAATATTTTATTGTATTTCAGTATTAATCACATTTTTATATTCAGCGCCTTATAGTTAAGGACTGTCAATCTGGCTGATAACATGAATACGACCCCCAATCTCCCTCCTCCTCCTCCTCCTTCTCCTCCCCCGCCTCCTCCTCCTCTGCTCGTCCCCGCCTCCGTATT